GGTAACAGAGCTGGAGCGATTTCTGGGTAAGCTCCTGAAGGCACTTCTAGTATATCAGCAAATGGAACCAGGACTAGTAATTACAGTTCAGAACAATCTCCCTCTGCTTTATATTGTTGATGGAGGTGAGGACAAGGACTAATTTTAATGACTACATTGTCTTTGCTGTAGGAGTTTTGTTGCCTTCAGTGTTTACCAAGTTCTTTGTATGTCCTGTTTGTTGACACAGTGTAAGGGGAGAAAAACACCAGCAGTCAGCTATGCCAGGAAACCTAGGAGGCTTCCTGCTCTCCTGGAAAAAAATGGCCTGAACTGTAGGTTACCTCAACTGCTATGAGTCCTCTTGTCAAACTTGGCTTCCGTTAACTACATTGGCATTATGATCCCAAACATCTGCCTCTGGTGAACTCACGTTCCATAGGATTTTTTTAAACAGCAAGCACCAACATAGGCCTATGTGCCTCAGTCAAAATGAGATTAATTATCTATAATACTTCTGGATAAACTGCACTAAGAATAAACTTCACCGTAATTGCTGATGAAATTAGAGCTGTACCTTGTGGTACCCTTGAGGTTACTGCATCACTGTGATTATATACTGATCTTTGAAAACAAATGGAAGAAATTATTAGTGATGCACAAAGTTCTATCACAAGACTCAAACTGCTGGCTCAGAACAGTTAAATTCTTCAATGAATCTGATAACAGGTCTCTTAACATCCACAGGTGAACTGAAAGCAAAAAAACATACCCTTCCAAATGGCATAATTTTATCAACAAGCATAATTTTTCACTTGCTTCTTCTCAGAGGCTTGTGTGGTCCTCTGCAAATGAAGATATCTCTTCATAGAATATGATTGCACTTAAAGACGTTAAGCACTGTACAGTGTCTACTTTGATTCAACTCCTCCTTTTTTCATATAAATGTAAAGAGAAAACAAGTTGTTGACAGTAGCAAACATTATTTGAGATTATGCAAACCGAAAGACCAAAACTTGATCCATCTATTAATATTACCATTATCATGTCAGTATTTTTATTCCACTTGCTGAATATTATTACTTGTATTGTAGCAGCATTCAGAGATCCAGTCAAAACTCAAGCCTCTTTCTTGGAACCTGCAGTAATACTACTGCAAACACAAAAGAGGACAATACTGCCTTGATAAGCCTGGCACTCTAAATGCTTGTGCAGGCAAAGCTGAAAGCATGTAGATAACATCAGCCATCTGAAGGTTTCCACAGTCGGACTTCCACATATGGCACAGGTTTTTCCAGTGTCAGGATTTTTAAAGTCTTTTATTTTCTCAAGCCAGTCAGTGACAATCAAGTCACCAAAACTCCCATGTAAAATTAATGTCTCATTTTGGAATTAAGGAATATTCTAGTGATTGCTCCAGACTAATGAGTGGGACCCAAGATTCGCAAACAGAATTATATGTAAGCTCTTCCTGACAAAAAGAAACAAGCTGCAACAACAGCTTAGTTATCTTGTGTCTTGTTTTTTGTGTTTTTTTTTTTTCTAGAAGAATAAAACAGATTGCAATCTGAAGTTGGTAGAGAAAGAAGAAATAATAATTAACTGCCTAAGAGAGCTGTTTCTCAAGCTGAATTGAAGATAGGCATCTTTGTTAAACACACATGGCTCTTTGTCTCTAACAGCAAATGGTCTTGCCAGTAGCTTATGAGAGAAAGCAGCCCAGATCGGACAATGTGATGCACAGGCATCCAAGTTTTAGTTATTTTTTTTCCTTCTCTTTTTAACAAAGATTTCAATAGTTTTAACGGTAGGTTAGGGGGTAGCTTCAGTGTATGCCATGTATTTATTTCCTGGATGATGTACCATAGATTTGGGTTCTGAAAGTAGTTAAACTGTGTAATTACAATTGTGCTTCACTACACCATACTTATAGGTGTACTTTTGAATGTAGCTCATATAAAATTACATAGGTAGAAAGGAAGCAATCTGGACAGCCAAATTCAGAGCACAGTAAAGCTCTAGCTGTATTTAAGACAAGAAAAGAGGATTATCATGCTGGTTGAAGTTGTCAGATAATTGCCTGTACTAAAAATAATAATTTGTGGTTAGTTATAATCATGAAATGCTAAGACAGATTAAAAATGAACGGTGATGTACTCAAGAAAATACAAAACTGAAAGAAAAACACATATTCTCTTCACAGAAAAATGACTTTTTATAGATTCGAAGAAGTGCTCTCATCTTCGTCATTAAAAATGTTTATTTCATTCTAAAATAAGATACATGGAGAATAAAAAGAGGAGAGCCTTTAGATTACTAGATATAATATGAACAAACACAAATAAAATCTACTATCTCTATAAAGCACAAAAGTTAAATGTTCCTTAAAGGCAAATTCTGGCAGTGTGAATGCTTCCTGTTAGACACTCTGAGGTCCCACGGCAGGTGGGATGTAGACCATTAGTAGGTGCTCGGACAGGCCCAGGTGAGCACTGAGGCCAAAAAAACTGTATGACATGGATTCCCCCGCTTTCTCTCTTGCTCATGGAGAGGGATAGTGCATTTTTGTTGCTGAAACCAAGTGCCTCAACACCATATAACTAGACATACCATCCTCCATTCCACAGAACAGCACAAGCCTAAATTAAACAGTTGGGCAGTTCACAGATGCAGAGTATGACTATGATTAAATTTTCACTCAACTGAGCCTCTTCTTGATAAAATGAAAATCTTTCCCTGCTGTTTAAAAGCACAACCATCCTTTCTAAAAGCGTGCTCCACTAACTGCATCATGCAAATGTTCCAACACATTGACCTGTTCTTAATGCATGTAAGAAGACAAAGTTTTGCAGATAATCATTTAATAATTTGAATCAAACCCATAATTACTTGATTTTAAACAGTTATTGTGTATATAAATTAAAACCCTTTTCCAAGTGCTATGAAGTTTCTCCAGATATACATTAACTTTCCATTTTCTCCCCTTCTGACTCTAATAATGACATTGTCCCTCTTAATGCAGTTAGCAATTCAGAAACTTGTTTCTGTTGAGAAAAACATCTGAGTCTAGAAATATTCTTCACAAAAACTCCCAATAACTGTGGCCTCTCTTAATTTGAATCCTACCTTTTAATCACTTATTTTTCATTTCTGAATATCAGCTTGTTTTCAGTTCTCACTACTTTCACTTTGAATTGCTGGAAGAATATTTTGCTGATCTATATATCTTCTGAGATATTTCAGAAGCAGTTTCTGCCTTGGTTAACATTCCTATAGGGATGACATTCCACACAATATACATCTACTTATATGCTTTAGTTATTACGACAGTTCCTAAATACATGGTCTATAACCACTGTGAAAACCAAAATGCTTCTAGGTAAAATCTCTTCCTCTGTTCCACATCATTAACTTCACCAGTACTGAACACAGTTCATATGCTCAAGTATTCTGGCTGTGGGACAAACTGAAATCAGCTTGCATTTGAACGTGATTTCCTCTTTCAAGTATCTATACATTTGCCCCTTACCACATCTTAGTCATTGCCAGAATCCAGGTATCTAAGAAATTACTATCAAAGCACTAATCATTGCTCTTAATACTGCCTTCCAGTATTTTTTAAAGATGCTTATCAATGCATCCTATAATTTCTATACACTGTGGTTCTGTGAAGACTCTCTTTTTTATCAATGATTCAAAACCCAAATAACATAATTTTCAGGAGGCCAACTCAAACATTCCTTCTTGAATTTCAAAACTACTAATTATTTTGTTTGACTCTCTCAGGACAGGCTTTCGTTTATCCTTCAGTGTATATGTTACTGCTGACTTGCCCTTCTTCACCACACCCTTTGCCAACTCCATGAAAAGTAGACAGATTTTAGTTGTGCTTTTCAGCTTACTTGAAACTATTGCATTTCTCTTTCTTTTCTGGGGCATGGATTCACTTTCTTTTTCACATACAGTCTCCAAGTAAACGCAAAACAAATGTATCCCATTTGTCAGCTAACACATGCAGAAAGCATCAAGAAACAGTCATGTGCTACACATTTTTAGGGAATGTGCCTTCATTAAATATCAAAAACCAAAATCCACTGTCTTACCTGAAAGTGTCATACTCAATCACCTTGCTATGCTCAGGGTCAGCAGCTGCAAACACCTGTCTGATTTCTCGGGAACGAGGTTCAGCTATGTCTTTCAGTTTCTTGAGAATGACACCAATATTGGCCACGGAGAACTTAACAGAGGAAAGCAAGACATAGATTAGAGAGAAAGGCACTACGCAGCCAACTACACATGTACCAGCAAGAGCTGTCAAGATGCAGGGCAATGTTGAACTGCTAAGTATTACCAGTTTCTTCATTGTCTCACTTCAAATGCATAAATCAGCACTGTGTTAAGTTTGGAGGGAAGCCTGATACTGAAAAAAATTGCCTTCTACTGAGAATATAATAAATTAAACAAAAATCATCAGATCACACACTCTCAGAAGCTTATTTCAGCTGCAATTTTTTTGCTTCAAACACTGAACTGTTAAAGCAGAAGCAGGAACATTTAAAGTACAGTTCTAACAACTTGGTCCGCATTTTATGTTGGTGCATCTCACTTAATTCTCGATTAATAAAACTCACCTTTTTTTAACCTTTTCACTATTGGCTCCAATGAACTGTTGAACAGATATTCTCATTCATATTAGACTGAGTATGCTAGTTCACATACTCAGGATCAGCAGATTGGAAATTTGTTAGGAACCAATTTTTCCTGTCACGTAAGAAGAACACTTATTTCTTCTAAATATAGGCCTTAAAAAAATTACATTTAGATAAACAGAACTGGAGCACTTCAGCTTACGCCCTACATTCAGATTGTTGTGTTAGAGCTCTACCAAATATTTATTTGCTATACTCATTTTTAACATAAAGCTTCTACATATTCAGTCACTAAATAGGGGTTGAGTCCAATTAATATCTGATATGCCTTTACATCTGTCATGCTCTACCTAACTTACACAGCACAATGAACAGTCTAAAAACAGTTTTCTCCCATTTCTTCCATAAGTAACGTTGTTTTCACTAGCAATTATTTGAAATTTGGTATGACTGGTATTAAGGACCTAATCACAACAGAGATCAGGCCTCACTCTCAGTTATGCTGAAGTCTGTCTATAGCTTTGTATCAGTTCAAAGGGATCTAGAAAAGGTTATTTAAAGTCCCTATGACACTGCCAGAGCAGAAGAAAGTGATCCAAGTTTAATAAATACATCAGTGGTTGCAGGTAACATGCTCAGATTTGCTGTATATGCTAAAACTGCTCCAGGTACAACCCTGGCATGCAGTTCCAGACAAGACAGTGGTGTGGAGCAGTCAGACCAGCAAACAAAGTTTTACAGACAGCAATTTTTTCAATCCCCTCCCCAAGCTGTTATTGTTTGCGCCATAAGCGCACAGCTTTTTGCTGAAAAAGCAAGGAACAGAGATTGAGAAAAGACTGTGCAGAAGGAATCAAACAGCAGAGTATTTAAAGATGGACACAGTGTTCTGTCTATTTTAAAACCTGCCTTCTCTACATAATCAAAGCAGTTACTTTTATGTCTTTTTCTAAACTACATATTCCAAACACCTACATAGACACCAAGTATCTGAGCACCATGGCAATAACTCTTTACCCACTTTCCCCCCTTCTCATGTAATTGCTTGCATGCTAGTAGTCACAGTGTGGCTTTGTTTGGTTGTCTTGCTGAAGTCCAAGGCTATTATGTTGAATTCAATGGAAGTAAAAGCAACCTCCATGTTTGTGCTGCGGAAGACCATAAAGTTTGAACAATTGAGACTGCTACAGAGATGATAAATTCATTTCCAAGGAGGCACATGGATGCCTTGTTTGAAAGAGTCCTCCTCAAACCTGGATAACACTGGCAGGACCATGCATGACACACATGTTCTGTTTTGCAAGCGAATTTATGTTTTCTAAATACATCTTTTTTTTCTTCAAATTGTAAAAGAAACTAAAATTGTTGAAAAGTTTTGAGAATTAGATCCTTAAAATTGTTTTCAGTACAGGTGGCAATCAAAATGACAAGACCTAATGATTTTTCTCTCTCTATAACTTAAAAACAATAAATAAATATAATTTTGAAACAGAAAATTGCAATTTTCTGATATCTCATATGGTGTCAAACAAGTGTTTCAATGATAGCAAAATCCATTCCTACCTGCACTTTGTTTACTCAATCAAAATTTCCTCTAAATCAACATATGCCTGTACAAATGTGGCCAAAATGGCATTTTCCAGAGGAAAAATATTCCATCTGGATCTCTTTCACCAGTTTTCAGAAAATGTAATGATGTGTTCTGCTGGAACGAAATTCCTGCCTATTCAGAAGGAAAATTATTTATTTTCTAATTTTAGAAATAACTGTCAAATAGTCATCTTAAAATTGTTCCCCCTTCTTCAAACCATCTTCTAGCTATGGTCTTCTCTAATAATTGCTGAAGTTCTTGTGATTTGACTACACAGGCCCCTGAAGAACTGAGGCGAACAAGGTGTGTCCTTACTCTGTTCAAAGGATGTGAATAAAGTACCTATCATTGGGAGAATAAACCTTCTTTTCTACCAGCTGTTTCAAAACCTTAACTGTGCTAAGAAGATTTCAAAATTCACTTTAAAGAAGTATTTTTAGTGTTGCTTCTTCCCATTTTGTAGATTTTCTTTTGCTAATATACAATCATTGTCTGGAAAACTGAGATCTCATCTGTTTGATCCAAGAAAATCAATGCAAACACAGCAGCTCCAAAGAACATTTACAATCTAATGATGTGCTCTGCATTTTGGAGAACAGCTTTGGTTTTGATTCTACTGTGAGGAGAAACAGTCCAGCAGAAAGAAAACATCATTTATATAGCTTTGTATTTTACTGCTTAAAGCATTTAGCAGTCATAGCATTTTACATCTACAAGCATTTTGCAGACCTTGCTCATTATTCCAAGGAAGGCAGGTGGTGCTAACCCCATGTTAATTTACAAAGAAATCACACCGTTCTGCTATTTTCATTTGTGTGAGAACAGCACGTGCGGCCCAAATGGGGCCAGGTTGCCTCTGCCTGATCAGCACAATGGCATCAAGACTCACAGTTCCCAGTACCCCCAGACACCAGCTAGGTGTACTGGTGTCTTGAGAGTCCCGCAGGTTCACTCACTTTGGTGAGCCAGTAGACAGGGAACAATCAAAGCTTGCTTAAAGAACCTTCTCCCTTCTCAATCCATGAAAGGTCTGGACAAATGGGCCGAGGACCATAGCTTGATAAACGCTCCTGGATATTTTCCCTAGAGGTACTCTCAATAAGCCTTAGCAAAAGGGCCGCTCTGGAGAAGGTCTGCCGAAGGCATGATTCATGCTGCTGCCCCACCATGAGTTATGAAGCATACGCACTAGTCCTCACCGCACACTTGAACACTGATGTTCAAGATCACACTGTGATGACGCAACAATCCAGAAGAGGGACTGGGATGCAGAAACGCCTTGGCTCCTGAGCTGATGCATTCTTATGATGCATCTCAGAATGACTGGGTCAGAGCTGCATAAAACAGGAATTTCCAAGTATACCAGGGTACATTTATTAAAATATTGCAGCACAAACTCCATTGTAAATAAAACCAAAAAACAAACTACCTTTCTTACCAAACCAACATAAAATCCCATAAAATGCTCTGTGACTTTCCTGTGGTTCTCCACCCCGTATCCTTTCTTTTTTTTACCTCTGTGACAATTGCTATAGGACAATCAATTTCCTCCTATTGGATACTTCTCTGGCTTTGGCGAAAGAGGGCTTCTTTACCAGCCACTTGTCTAATGACTGGTAGCATCAAGTATACATCAACAGAGGCAACCCAGCTCTTTATTGTTGTTCTCCCCTCTGAAGGCAACACCTCAAGATAGTGAAACTCCATACAAACTGTAAGGTTGAATTCCAGACTGTGACACTAATTTCTCACATTACAAGGGAAACATTTAGGCAGATAAATATGTATGAATCAAAAAAAAAAAAAATCAAGGCATAAAATAGCCTCATTGGTAAGACTCTAAATTGTATGTGCCCCTATGTTGAGTACTGTGCACTGTTCCGGCCTCCACATCTCACAGTTGCCTTGCAATGACAGACTAAAAAGGGTGAGGCTCTTAAATTGATAGGATTAGGATTAGGTGGAAGAATGTGTGGGATTTATAAAATTATGAAGGTAGTGCATAAGGTGAATGAGGATCTTCACCAAGCCCCAGAATACTATAAGTGGCATTGAAACTACTGGGAGCTTGGTTTAAAGAAGATAAGATACTTTTCTAATAATAGATTTTTTTTTTTATTTTTTATTTTTTTTTTTACATAGCAGGCAGTGAACTTTTCAACTTGCTGCCACAGAAAGCTGTGAAAGCAAACAGTATCTGGATAGGTTCAACAAGAGTTAGATCAATTCAGGGACAAGAGGTTCATAAACAGTCTCAAGAATGAATAGGTAGGAATACACCTTCTAACAACCCCTAATACAGTAAGAGTGGATGCTGAGAAAGTAGAAAGGGAATGGACAGAGTAACCAGGTTTGCATGCGCTCCCTAGCTAGCATCTCTTAAATCCACTGCTAGACAGAGAGCACTGGGCTGTGAACTTTGGGTGAAGAAATTAGGTATAAATAATTCTGAAAAATATATGGATAAGATACAGTCCTTAAAGATAATAGAAAATACCAAGAGCCTGCTTCACCTCATTTGCATGCTTCTCCATGTAGTTGAACGTGTACTCATCAGCATCCACCAGAAGAAAGTTGTGACCATGGAAACAAACTCTGGCTCCAACAAACAGATCCTGAGCCTTGAAGTATTCAGATGGCTCACTCTTAAACAGCTCCTGCCCAGGCTTCTTAATGCGACCTCTTTCCAAGAACTTCCCACCAAGTATCCCTACGGGAATAGAATTGTAAATAATTAATTGTGACTTTACTTGGGGAAAAAAAAAAAAACACAAAACAAAACCCAAAAGATACCTCAAAGCAGCTGGTTTATATCTAAATGTGAATCTTCATCCTTGAGTTTCTTGTGTCATAATATACTGTCCCTCTCCCTCTCACTGCTAAAAGAACTGTCTTTGCCAGTGACCACAGCAACAGTTACATTGTGCATATTCTGTGACATGTCTCATTTGAATGCCTGCCAAACACCTTCCCTTTTTTTCTTTTCTTTAAAATGGGACGGAAACGAGCCTCTTCAAATCATTCCCATAACCCTGTCGCCAGCCTTGGGACTGACCCTTGAGAAATGCAAGATACAAAATGTTAGATGCAGGCAATTATCCTTGAACTGTTAAAGCAGAAAAGAAAAAAAAAAGCATAACTTAGGATAGCACAGTCCTACAAAGATCACAAATTCTGGTGCACTGTAATTCTAACTTGTTTTTAAGGGCTTCTGAATGCAAAAAAAAACCCAAAACAAAACAAAAAGCAAGATGACACTGTATGAAACTATCTTCCACATACTGTTCTGCCAGTGCAATTTAATTGTGATCTGTTGTTTGCTTTGTAAGGTGCATATGTCACATTATTTCTTTTCAAGTTATAATGATTTTATTTGTGCCACTGGAAACTGCACATGGTGCTCAAGGGTATGCAAGACACTAAAAGGAATATTTCACTTTCTAATAACATCTTCTGGTGCACCACAAGATTGCATTGCATGCACCAAGCTTTCTAGAACAGATTCTGTCACAAATTCAGTTTCATCAGGATATGTGCCCTACAACAACTCCGGAGCATCTGGGGTTTTGTTTCCTGTTTATATTTGAATTTCCAAGCCAAAAGCCAAAAAGCATACTTTAGTAACATTTAATGATGTCTTACATACTAGGTAGTGATGCAAGTCCAATATATGTCTGATGAACTGTGTAATAAAATGCTTTTTATAGTCAAAATTATAAATGAATGTGAAACTCAAACTACTTCTTAAACCAGAGTTTGGATCAGATGTCTGTCTTAATTGCTTTACTAGCACCATAAAAGCAAAAGACAAAGAATAAACTATGGTAATAGTCAGTTTTAGCTTGAATCAAAAACCAATTTAAATCACTAATATAACTCTAATCTCAACACATTACTTTTCACCCAGCTATTAAAACAAATATGAAATTTCGGGTTATATTATGCTGGCAACTCTTTGTAATATTTAAACAGAAGTAGTCTCTGTAAGATTGGAACTTCATTCTTGTCTCTCTGGTTCCCCTGCAATTGTGTGCACTTAGATTGGAAACTGACCTTAATACTTCTGTCCCATAATTGGTTTTTAAATGTTACAGGTTAATACATTTCAAGAGGTATAAAGGAAAACAACCTAAAATATCTCACTAGGTTAGAGATTTTACACTGAAACCTGATGAGAAATTTTGATGGAAATCTACAAGAGACAGGCTCAAAGCACAAAATAAACACCATAACCAAAGACTCTCTTCCTTGAAGATCAAATCAGACTTTGTAGGTGTTTGTACAGCTGTTGGCTTAGTCTTACACTGAGTAAAAAAGGAGTTGCAATCTTCTGCATGGGGAGCCAAAGTTCTCATGCTTTGACCCCCATTTCAACAAGTGCTTCAAGATGTCCAGCCCTGTGCATTTCAAATACAGTTTCACAGTCTTGGTAACAGTGTGAAGTACTTCTCTGCAACCTTCAGGTTGCTGGACTGAGAAAGGTAACAGCACCTTATTACTTCCACCTTAGGACTGAAACTTGAAACATTTTTACTTGCCAATTTGTATCAATTCATGCAAAAAAAAGGCGAAAATAGCCCTTTGAACCTGTGCACAAAAGGGGTGGTCAAGTTGTTATTTTGTGAGTTATTTACTGTTTTAATTCATCCCTTTTCTAAGATGTGCTCAACCTTACTCTTCTCGCACCCCTTCCACTTCAACACTTTTCCTTCTCACATTCGAACGTTCTACTCACTCCCACTTTGCAAGCCTTACCCCTTTTTAATAGCTACTCGTATGTGACCTCTGGCAAAATCTTCTCATTCTTAACCTCGAAGAAACCCATTCACTCTTCCTTCAGACATGACTAAAATGAGGGAAGGATAGAAAGAGAGAAGAGAAACAGAGAAGAAAGAAAAGAGGAAGGTGGAAACAAAAGAAACTTCTGCAGTCCCAGGCCTCTTTCCATCTGCTGCTCTACCTCCCCCCCAACCACTCCTTCTTATCCTGCCTCTTCAAGGTTGCTCTCACTAAACTCTACAATGGCCAGCTCTTAGCCACATCCTTCCACTTCACCTTTCTACCATCTCTGAAAGTCAGCTACTTCATCTACTTTAACGTCCCAGGGAAGTTCAAAACCCATATACAGATACTTGCCTTTCATATGTGTCTTAAAGCATTTGTTACTGTTGGTATGCTTCTTGTTTCACATCTTGTTTCACTAGCAACGTTCAATGGGTCCCCAGCTGCAATCCCAGCATATATTCTCATTCCAAAACAAAAGGAAGCCAAGGAGCCATCTCTGGCCAGGCACCCATGCTGTTGAGAGCCTGACTGACTGACGACATCTGCACTGCATAGTGCATGGCCCTGGCTCTGCTCTGGGTGCTAAGTGACTGACTTGTGGTCTTCAGACACAGCTAATATTTTTGTGTGTTCAAACCGTTTGAAGGCATGTGAGGGCTGTGTTGCAGTCCAACACAGCAGTGTTCTGCAGCATAAAACCGAGGGTATATATTGTGTCCCCTGGGCGTGGCAGGAGGACCTGGATTTTGGAGTGTGCAAAACCTCCTGGGACAGTGATAGATGACTGATAAGGGTGGAGCAAGCCAAACCCGGTGCAGCCTTGTCCTCATTGCCTTGCAGGAGGGTTTCCTGGAGTTAAGCAACCTCCAGGAGAAGCCCAGGTCTTTCTGGGTCATTGTCTAGTTGGAATGGTGCAAAGGAGAACCAGGAGTGATCAAACAGGCAGTGCAGATGATGCAGGTCCAAGATTCAAACTGTTCCCTGGACTTATTTAACAATGTAGCTGTAGCCTTAGCATCTTTTATGTCTCCAGACATAAAAACCAGCAATCAAACACGTCACTCACTAGTGCACAACTGAACTGCTCTTGAACCCCACAGCAGTATTACATAATAAATACATACATATGCGTATATATCTTTAGCTGTAATAAAAGAAGTTGTATAAACTGCAAGCCACTGGATGGTAGGAAACTAGTAAAATAATGATGACAGGACACTGCTGCCATAAACAGTGTTAAATCTTGATGTTGCAGTGCAGCAGGGCTCACTGAAACATAGGCCAGTACTCTATACATTTTCAAAATATTTCTCAGAGAATTGCTTGTATTGGAATTGGGGCTGAGGTCCCTATTTATGCATTCATAATACAGTTGGATACCAACACACATGCCATTTCAACACAAGTTCTTTGCAGTGAAAAGGTTCAGGCCTTCCCAAAAACCTACTCATGTGCAGGGCACTCAAAATGACTTAGTAGCACCACTGGCACAGAAAGGGTTCTCTACAAATACAGAAGGGTCTAGATATTCAGCACATTTTTTATGGACATGACGTACATCACAGGTCTGAAATGGATTAATCAGAAATAATTTTCATCAAGGGCTTAAGATTAGGGCCGCAAGAATACTTAGTCCTTAACTGAAAGCTGAATAACTGGACATCAGAAAGTCAGCTGCTGCCACCAGAGCCTGAAGCAAAGGAGAGGAACAGCCCTCCCTAGGACAGTCTTTGCTCTAAACAGTGAGCTGGGAGTACCAAACAGGTCAGTACTGGGTACAGTGAGCTGGTCATCATTGCAGAGTGTACCAAACATACCATATTAAGGTGCTCTATGCCAAGAATCATAGAATCATCATAGAATCATAGGATGGTTTGGGTTGGAAAGGACCCTAAAGATTGTCGAGTTCCAACCCCCCTGCCATGGGCAGGGATACCTTCCACTAGACCAGGTTGCTCAAAACCCCATCTAACCTAACTTTGAACACCTCCAGGGACGGGTCATCCACAACTTCTCTGGGTAACCTGTGTCAGTGCCTCACCACCCTCACAGGAAAAAATTTCTTCCTTATGTCCAATCTAAATCTACCCTCTTTCAGTTTAAAACCAT